ATAGAAATGGGTTGAACCTGAATCTATCAATGTAATAACTAGAATGAAAAACACTGTAAAGGTACTTGATATCACGTCTGTTGTATCACACTCCTCACGGGCTCTCACTACATATTGTCTGGAGGCTACCCTCGGCTCTGCAATGACTACTGATCTAGTTGTGCCTCTATTGTGATGGCCAGTGGCAGAACTACCACATCTCGTAGGCCCTTTAACCTCTCTACATGAATGGTGATGATCTCTGAATCGATGTCGAAGCTACTCCATGAGTCCCCAAACAATCTTTGATGAAATAGTCCAAAGAGCCACAACTGAAGCAACCCCTCGACCCCTGTTGGCTTGACCCTAGATGTCTATGGATTTTCGGTTTATAAAATTATTTTTATAACTATCATGTATGTCTATTTTGGTACCATATAGTACACTTTTAAATTGAAATGAAAAATGTTTAAAATTTGTGGTTGCCCTAGCAGCCCAATGTAGCACTTTAAGCTCATTCGAGTTTAGGGTGTTATAGGTACCATATACCTTATCGATGAAATAAAATAAATGCCTAGACTTATTCATCTCTGCTTATATTTCCTAGCATGCTTATATTTATGAATTTCATAAACTATAATATAGTAAAAGTGTACTACTGAACTTGTTTTATTAGTTGGGTGATTACAAGGCAGTATATGTTCAAAGATAACTCTAAACCATTTGAGAATGAATGTTCACACCACTTGACATTCTTAGTACTCGAACTCAAGACCTCAAGGAATAACAACAATTCCTTTACCACTGAGGTAAATTGATTCATGCATATCACTAAACTTGTAAAGTTTAATATTCATATATTTCTATTTTTGGGTTAGTATATCAGCCTTGTTCGAGGAGCACTGTCACAACAAGACTTTCAACATCTTCAGTTAAGAGTACAATACTTGAATATTTATAAGATATGTGTATTTAAAGGATCATTCTGTATATTTTAATCTATAAATGTATTGGTATTTTAATTTAATTGGTCTTATATTAAATTTTGATAGAATTTTGGTTTTATATAAATGTTTTATCATTGGTATGAATGTCGTTATTTTGTTGTACCATAGTTATTATATGATTAAATGCTGGAAATGATAAAGGATTTTTAAAATTATCGATCACTTCAGTGATCCAACGTGACACATTAGACACATCTTGTAACAAATCGAACTTGGAATGTTGCACATTTGTTAATTCTTTTAAAGGTTGTTCGAGAGAAATGAATGAGAGACAACACATGGACTGGGGTTTTACTTTGCAGAAAGACAAGGGTTTTTCTTTGCAGAAAAGGAGATTAACGAGAGAAAAGAGAATTTTAAAATTTTAGGAAAAAATAAATTCAAATTTTTTTATTTTTAAAAATAATTCTTAATTTTTTAATGAGTGATGATGATGTGTTTTGAAACACTGAAAGATAGAATTTTTAAATATGTAAAATTAAATTAGTTGAATCATTTAAATTAGGACTAAATTAATAGCATGTATGAGTGTTGAGGACTAAATGTGTTATAATATACATTTAAAACGTCACATCAATTAAGATTTAAGTATTTTTGCACGAATTAACGATCTCGGTGATAAATGAATTATTGTTATTCTTTAAGGTCTTGGGTTTGAGGACTATGAATATTAAAAGTTTGAATGTTCAATGTCAAATGGTTGAGATTTATCTTTGAACAAATATTTTCTTGTACTTGTCGCATATTAATAAAAAAGTATTTAAAAAAAAAAGGCAAATTAGTTTTGAACCCTTTGAGTGGTCCTAGTTACAGGTGAGCAAAATTCGACTCAACTTGAAAAAGCAATGTTTTTGATTTTGTAACACCCCAATTTAGGGGCTAAATTTAAGAAATTATAAAGTGGTGAATTTAATTAGTATTTTTGGAAGAAATTGAGGATTAAATTGTAAAATTTCAAAGTTGGCAAACCATTTTATGAAGTGCAGGAAATTTAGTGGCTAAACTATTAATTTAGCCAATTTTCTATAGGAGAGAATTATAAACTCTCCCCCGTCAATATCCAGAGACATTTTTTAGTTTTTACTTCTCTAGCATCCCTCCTTTCAACTCCGATCTACTCGCCGTCCGACCTCCGACCAACGAACTGAAACCACCATCGTGTTCATTGTCGACCGAGGAACAAAACCCTTCAAACCTTTCATCGTGAATCATCACCGTTCATCGTTAATTTTAGTCGGAAGTATCATCAGTAATAACTCGATTTCAATTGTTTTTTCATCGATTCACGATGATCCAATCATCCGTTTACGACACCTCCCGCACCATTGTGTTCCTTGCATCGTTCCGAGTCCACCAGTGTTCTCCATTTCTCCGTCGTCGCCGACGCGTGGAGGGGTGAGACTGTCAAAGTTTTCGACGTTTCGAAATCGAGCTCTCCGCGCGTTCAAAATTGTGAACCGAGCTTTGAAAGTGCCTCAAAATCGCTTAAAATAATTTTTAGGAATTTTTCGGGAATTTTTCGACACCGTATCACTATTCACGCACCCCACGCACCACCCCCCGGGAGTGGGCATCGTCTGGTTGTAATTAATTTCTGTTTGGGTGCTATTTGTGTAAAATTCGGGTGTTAGTTTCGTAAATATTTACATAAGGTGGCTAATTTTGTAATTAATTTCTGTTAGGGTGATATTTGTGTAAAATGGTTGAATGTTGACTGCTGACCTGCGTTGACCATAATTGACCAGAACTTTGACCGGCTTTGACCGGGCATTAAATGACCTTTGACTTTGACCGAGTATACCTATCATGACGTTTTTGGACGTTCTGAATCCGATTCCGCAGTCCGTTTTTTGAAATTCAGACACAAAGGTATCGAAATTGCCAGTCAAACCCGTTGACTTTGATTTTGACCAAAAATTCCAAATTTTTGAAAAGTCATATTTTATGCTTTCGACGTCCTGAATCCGAATCCGAAGTCTGTTTCACCAAATTCGAACCCGGTAAGCTGTTTTTCACTGATTTATCATCCGATTCGATCCGTTTTTCAAAATTAAGCTCTGTTTTTATGTAATTTCTGTTGATATGAATCCGAGGAAATATTGGAAGTTGAATTAAAGATCAAAGGCGTTCGAATGGAATTTATATGGTCGATCAGTATGGCACAGAAATCGAGGTAATACTTTACTACCTCTTTATGCTTTATAGAACATGTTGATATTGGTAAATTCATGAATAAGATAACGTTGATCACTTTTGTGGACTGGAATAATTTATACACTCGATATGAATGTGGTAGAAATTCTGTAACTGAATACGGATTGAATGACTAATATAAGAGATTGATGAATTGTTAGAATCAAATTACAAGTTTATGATTGGTGATAAAGAAATCAGCCCTGGATTTGTAACTTATATTTTTATATCATCAAAGGTTAAATGTTAAAGGTACTTGGATGGAAAATTATGAGAATACTCCGGTATGGTAAAATTACGAAAATACCCTTATGTTGTAGGATGACAAGAATTATCCCTGGAAGTTGGTTAATAACTCTGAAAAGACATATTGATCCGATATAATTACATATGTGCATAAGAAATGCTAGTTTTGCTTGGAAAATTTGGATAACTGGTTTTTAATGGCAAAAAGGGTTTGCGCAAGATGCTAGAAGTTTGTTAAGGAATAATTTCAAGATCAGAGAATGTTCGGCAAAGCAATTGACCATAAGATCTTTAAATTATAACTATTTTTGTTAAGATCTAATATCGAAATTATCTGGTTAAAAAATTACGAAAATGCCCCTGAGAGGTAAAATAGTCCGAGTTGACCCTGAATGAGAAAGTACTTTGAGGATTTGTACTTAACTCGATTAAGTACGAATTTGATTGTTAAGATCATGACTTAGTGCAGAAAATTCTTGATATTTCGTTGGTAAAAATCTGAAAAGGCACTTGACCTGAAAATATCCGAGTTACGAGTAAATACCTGAAGAACAATTTATCGGGGTGATCTTTTATCAGAATTGTTCGAAGTGACTGAAATAGATGATAAATTGGAATTAAATAATAAGACATGATTAAAGAAAAATGATTGAAATACATTGAATATGTAGAATGACCAGAATACCCCTGTAATGGAAATGACCCAAGATTATCACCAAACTCAGGAATAATTGGATATTCTCGAGCTCTGAAATGAATAGAATAAAACTGAACTCCAAAATTACCAAAATAACCTTATGGCCTAAACTAAGTAAATGTCTTGGATTAATTAAGGAATCCAAATAAGCATAGGTGTTGGACTACCTTTAAAAGTAATGGAACACAATTTAAGTGAGTAAATAAACCCTAAAGCTATGTCAATACCTGAATGGCATAGATATTACTTGAATGCGTGTTCGTCTTCTCAAGTTTGGCTTGATGATAAATTTTGGAAGTATTCAGCTCAACTCAACTCTAGATCGTATTCAGTACTAAGAATTGGACGTTTGTTCGACAAATCAACCACGAAGACCAAATTGAATGGAACGAAAGTACAACATGTATCTAAAATTCAGGAACGTTTGAATTACTCTGGAAAATCCCGAAGTTGAGTTATAAAATATGACTCATCAACTCAAGTTTTTTTACTCGGTTCAACTCGATCGAATGCTCACCTCTAATTCTAATGGTTAAGGAAATTTTATTCTCCCTTGGTGACTCGAGTTCGAGTAGCGTAATCTATATGTGCATGAGTTTAGATCTAAGTCTTTTCAACAAAAATATCACATCAATAATTCCAATAACAATGTAACGGTTGGTGACTTAATTGATCGCATATCAAAATGTCAAGGACTAAATTAACTAAAGGAAATTATTTAGTAGCTAAACAAAATTGACAACATAATATAGTAAGTAAATTGATAATTTTCCCTACATAAATCAGATACTCGTTAATAAGATGCGCCAGGAGCGTCTGTTGTTGCTGCTTCTTCTGCGGGACTCTCGCAGTTTACACTGATCAGTCATCACCACCCTCTTCACCCACGATCTCTTTCTGTATAAACTTTGAAAATCATTTTACATATTGTGTGAGAGAAAAAGAAAACTAACGTTTGCATGATCAGAGAGTGAAAACAAGAATGGGTTCTCCTACACCAAAGCTTTCTCTATATTCATTTCCGAGTAAGGCCAAAGAGCCGCCAGGAATGATAACGCCGCCGATCCATGCCTCGGTTTCGATTCCATTCAAGTGGGAGGAAGCACCGGGCAAGCCTAGGCGGCCATATCGTGGTGAAAACGAAACCGATACAATCAGTCGATCGAAGTCAAACGTGGCTAGATGCTTGCAACTGCCTCCGAGATTGTTATCTGAGTCCAAAGTTGCTAACATTCCATCTCCAACAGCAGTCTTGGAGGGGCCTGATGCGTGTCGGTTTGTGTCCAACACCTTGTCGTTTGGAAAAGTTGGGTCTTTGAGGAGACTCGACAAAGTTGTGTACGGATCCAGTAGGCGGGGGAGCTTTAGAAAGGCCGGACGAAATGTTCAGGGTAGTTTTCACTTTTCAACTCCGGTTGTTGACGGCGGAGATGTGGAAGTGAAGATCACAACAGTTAGGAAGAAACCCAGTTTTCTGAACCTTTCTCAAGCTGGCTCACATATCTTGGTACGTTTCAAAACCACCATTGTTAAGCATAGAAGAAACAATTTTATCAAGTTCTTTATCTTCTTTGCAGTGTCAAACAAGTTTTTTAATTTTCTGGGAATTATACACTCTTCATTTGAATTTGACTGATATTACGAGTCATTAATTATTTTACCAAAAAGTTGGCACAATCTTTGGCTAGTATATATTATAAAGAATCCCTTTGACATTTTTTATTGAATGTTCTCTAATCAGACAACTACGTTTATCTGCAGGCAAGCATTTATGAAAGCTTCAAGAAAGTGGTCCCATGGAGACGTAAGCATGAGAAAATGCAGAAAAATGACTCCTCAAACGCTTTGCCATCGTCTGATCTGCGAGATCAGTTGTTTGAACTTCAAAGCACTCATTAGTAATATTGAGGTATAATTTAAAGCACTTCACATACTAGTTTATAATGTATATAAAATTATGTCTTGGAGCAGTAATTGACTATATCATATTCTATGTATGGTACTTTGGTCAAAATACAAATTTTCTACATTAAAATCTATAAATGGTTGTTGATTCAAAACATATAGAGAAAAGTGGCTGTGGTGCTGTTTTTCATAGCAGAAAAGCAAGAGCTGAACAGCATAGCAGTCAATAAAAGGAGGCAAGCGACCTTCTTTTCTTGTAATTAGCTTTGAAACAAGCCTGTCTTAGCTTCTTTGTTCTCTCTGTCAATTCCATATCTGGCACTTTCTCTAGCATCCTTTGGTGCTCCTCCAACACCTCTATCTCATTACTCAAACCAAGCTCCTAAAAATAAGACAACAATGACTAATTAGAATTTAGCAACCACACTTTGAAGAGTTTTTCCCCCATTAGGCTCTTGACCATGCCATTGAGAAACTATTAAAGAGTTTGGTCAGCTGGCACCATCAATCTCTTCTAATGCTTGTCAGTAATAATCATGTTTTTGTTGATGATGACATTTAGTTTCATCATAGTCATGTCATGTTAACAAGAGCCTAATCTTAGAGATTAACATAAAGCTTTATATTAAGATACAAAGTTAAACAATTTAAAGGACAAAAACAATTATCAATAAAAAATATCTAAAGATGACTGTTTCATCAACCCCGATCAATCCGTGAATAATAAATAATTTGTTAAGCAAAATGGAATGCCTAGAGTGAGAATCCAATATAATGCAAAAGTATCATACTTTCACGCATAAAACGATTAAGATTATCACATGATAAAATAATTGAGCAAATAAACACAAACAAACTTCTCAAATAAATAAACTATTAATATAAAATATCTAAATTATATAAAAATTTAAAATTATAGGGAATGACCTCCCTGCCATCCCCGTTCGATCCTTCCTTGACCAATAAATAGTTAGGTAAGTAAGTGAAATGCCTAGAGTGAGACCATGTATAATTTTCTACTAAATGTAAACAGATGCATTGATAAGAATATGATTAGAAGACAAATTTATAAAATTCTAGAGAACTAAACTTATATTAATTTAGGGATGAAAATATATTATCAATAAAAAAATATTTAAATTATATAAAAATTTAAAATTTTAAAGGAGCATTCATCTCACCAATGCCCTCAATCCATATCTGATCTCAACAATAACTGGTTGTTTGAGCAAAATGGAATGCCTAGAGTGAGAAGCATATATAATTTTCTATTAAATGTAAACACATGCATATATATATAAGAATATACCTTGACATTGTTGATGAGTGACTTCAGGCTCTTGATCTTCCTATGAGGCCATCTCAAGATGTTAAGTTCCCTGCACCTCTTCTTCAACAGAGTTAAACCCACATTCATCTCTTTAGCAGCTTTTGATATGGGTAAATCAAAGTACTTTTGAATCTCATCCAATTCCAATGCACCTGTTCTCTTCCTTCGAAAACCCCTGCTTCTACTTTTACTCAAAGTTCCACTTGAAACACTATTGTTCATTATATTGCCACAATAATGACCCAATGGATCAACTGCTGCCTTTAGAGGCTTTACATCAACCACTTCATCTTCATTGTGATCTAAAGGAGTAAAGTCGTTGCTTATTTCTTCAAAATCCATAAACTCAACGCGTGCACTATTAGGTTGGGATGGCAATGAAGATGAATTGAAATCGTAAAAACTATCCATTTCAAAAGCGGACAATTCCAACCTGATTAAAAGAGAAAGACCCAAACGATAAGAACTAAAACCAAAAACTTGAAAAGAAAAATAATGATAGAATAACCACAAATCATGAAGATTAAAGCATCTAACATTCCAAATGGGTTTTCTTCAAAGTTGATGCAGTCAAATTCAGGTCCATTTTCAAACTTCGGGAAGCCAAGATCCATTGGAAGATGATGTAGAATGAAGGTGAGGAGTTTAAAAGGTGATTTCCAACGTTTATATATCAATATGAAAACAGGAAAGGGGATGAATTGGTATATGTTGGAGTTTGTGCACATTTAGTCTCTAAATGGAAATAAATTGCACAATTTTCATGCGATGTATTAAATATTACCATTTATTATTAGTGAAGAATTAATCAATCACTTCACCCATGATCGTTATCTATCTTTCAAACTTCGTTTTAATGATTAAACATCGTAACTTTTCAATTTTACAATTTTTGAGTTTAATTTAGTTCGTAAATCAATTTCATTTTTTCCGATTAATCATAAGTTTATTTTTTAACTATCAATAAATGATTTATTGACCAATTAATTTAAACCTCTAATTTTATTTAAAAAATCTAATATTTCATCTCATTAAATTAACTTTTCGTTGACGTAATTGTTTTGTAGTAATATACTTTCTCCTTAATATTTGTACTGACCTTGATCGACGAGATTATCATCACGCTGATATTAATATTTGATTTATGTCATATGTAATATAAAAGTATCACATTTTCTCGTACAACGATTAAGATTATATTTATTAGGTAGACTAATATATATAATAAAAAATTATTTGTATATATTTTGAAATTAAAAATATAATAATTGTAAATATTTGGACTGAACACAGAAAAATATATTAATTAAAATAATATAAATTTTTAATATAGTTTATACATATTTTTATACAATTATATTTTAATTTTTTAAGACATGGGATGAATCAATCTAGGCAAGTCTACCCCTAAATACGCCCCTGAAAAACAAGCTTCTTCTATTTAATCCATACAAAGTCATTCTCACATTTTAGTTTGCATAAAACTCAAGGACTATAAGAAGATTACAATGATTAGGAGTTAAAAGGTTTTCTTCATTAAATGATCCATCTTATCCTCTATACTTTTTATTGCACTACTATTATAACCTGCTCTCACATACTATTTATCTAAACATGAGTTAATAGATCATTGTTGCGCGTTGCAAGTACTATAAAATTATACGCAAATAATGTGCAAGTATACACAATCGCTAAAGTAATAAAGTGATGAGTGAGTATCGTCTCCACAGGGATTGGGTGAAATTACAAAAGTTTAACCAAAACAAAGCACTACTCTATCTAAGTATAGTTAGTGTTGATATGTACTAATATAAAATGTCGCGACAATGGAAAGTGTATGTTGGTTGATATGGATTGAAAGTCTGATGGGTAGCAAATGGAAATGTAGTGGCAAGAGCAGATTTTAATATTGGAAATGATTGAAATGTCAAGGCAATGAAAAACAATAAAAACAACAAATAAATGATAGTTTGATAATCCTCACACAACAATCTTCCACTGGAATGAATGTTAGGGATTGATTTAATGATGCTATAACTTATTCCTCAGGCAGATTTAATCTATCTAAACTTCACTTGCTCGACAGGGTTTGCTAAAAATTCTCCTGCTATCTCTAGTCAAAGGAATCTAACAGAATAAAATGCCACGGCATCTCCTCTCAGACTCAGCTATGACAGTCTACACTATTGATAAAAATTACCCCTTTTAGTCGTTGGAATCCTATCTTAGTCTCTCTCAAGTACTAAGGGATTAGGATATAGTATTACAAGGCCGGTTAAAAGCTTAAGAAAATACTATAGCCCATTGCTTATGTGGATCTTTCTTGTGTTTCCTCGAATACTACAAGTATTTTTAGCTAAGTTTCTCTCGAACCTCTAGCATTCATCTAAGAAATGGACACTCTCATGCCTCCTACAGACTTAGACGATGAAGCATTCATAAGCAAAGCAAGCGAATATAAAAGATAAATATTAATCTACCATTAAAATAAAGTTAAACATCCATAAAACAACCCCACCAAATAAAGTTAGTTCATGGTGGGGTTCGAATCATCCATAGAACAAGCCATGAAATATATTCGTTCCAAACAACCAATAATGAATAGAAAAATAGCAGCAAAGGGAAGGGAGAAGAAGCCTTCGACGCGCGCCACCGGAGCTCTCCTCGACCACCAAGACTTGCCTTAGCTCACTAGCTCCTCTCGGACGTCTAGCTCACCACTCCTTGGAGCTTATCAATGGAGGAACACCACTCAAGGAAGAAGAGATACGGTGAAAAAGGTAAGAAAATGTTGCTGAAGATCTTCCTCATTTTTCTCTCTCATGTGAGGTGTAATATATAATAAAAATGTCTAAGGGTAATGATGCGATTTTTGCCTCAAAATACCTATCATACCCCTAGAGTCACTCCTTAGGCGTGAGTCTTATCCTTCCATGTGGCAGTGGTCCCCAGCAGGCAGTTACAACCATCATTCACGTGCTTTGCCAACTGTCATCTTTTACAAAAATATCTTTTTGTCCGTTTCTGCACCAGAAATGCCAAGGCATTTCAATCTGCTTCAGCAATGTGTGATGTCACTACATTCCTTCCCAGTTCGACTTTCTGCTTGCTATTTCCTGCACACCATAAGCAACTGCACCTTTCTCTCATGCAATATCCTAAAAAGATAAAATAACAATACCACCACAAATGTAACTATATGCAACTACATGTTCCTAAAATGACTAAAATGAGCTTTTATACAAACAATAACTTAAGTGAAAAAAAGCCTTAAAAGTAACCTTTTTAGGGAGTTATCAATCTTATTCATACATAATCTTTGTTACGTATGTTTTTTAATAATAAATTTTAGTTTCATATAATCTGATTCATATATTTTTATTCGAAGAATAAATCTTAACTGCATATTTTCTAATTCGTGATCCCAGTGAATGAGAGGTACAAATTTTAAAATAACTTCCAAATAACTACCCACCTCTTATTTACATGAAGATTCACCTTGGAGAAAAATGATATGGACAAATACTATTGGTTGGACCACTGATGACATTGTGAGTTAGGATTATCTAATAATTTTTCCAATTTTAAAGTTACAGTTTACTAAATTATTTTAGTTTAAACAATTTTTTAGGTTTTTGTCAATTTTAAAACTAATTAAATAGGC